GGAGCTCAAAGCGTGAGTGCCTTGATCTCATGAATGGCAATACGCAGATGCCATGCAAAGAACTCATTTCTACATGCTGAAACTTTTTTTAGTTTTCTTTTAAAAAGTAATTTAATACACACAGAGAAAAAAATCTTTTAAATCAGATTGTTTTATAGTTAACAATCATTATAAAATAATTATGGTATGATGCATAACACAACAGATGTTCCACATTTCAGCCATTTGTCACACATCTCAATCATTTGTTTCACACAGTGGTAGGTTTGAAGATCAAAAGGTATGTTTGGAATACATTCAACCTGGAAAAGTGTCCCTTTAAAAGGGGCTGGAGAGCTGGCTAACCCCCAGACAAAGTAAGATTTAAAATGCAGTATGAGTACTTTGTCTTTACTACTAGGATAGGTCATTTATTGGGATGGTCAACTTTAAAAAAAAAAAAAAAAGGATGCCGAGCTGATGCTCAAATGAAAACCAGTACTACCTTCTTCAATTTATTTTTTAAAAAGTACTTTCACAGCAAGATGTGTAGGTGGAGACAAAGTGGGAGTTTGGAAAGATCAAACATTTTTTAGATTATGTAGTCACTGAATTAATGCACTCCAGCAGCATTGTAAGATACTGATCTGGCTCCTTTACATCCAGAGTCCATGAAGTGCAAGGGAGGGAAGATAGAAAAAGCAGTAGAATTTCTTTTATAGTTCCAATTCTTTAGTCCTATAAACTGGAAGGCTCCATGTTCAGCTATCATCCACTCTCCACTTCTACACCATGCCAGGAGACAGTTATTGCAACAAACTTATCTAGTCCACATAAGCCAAGGCAGATTTTCCAAATCACAGGGTTTTTAATTAACACAGTAGTTGTCCTTTATAGGATGCCCAGCATTCCACTACCACCTCACTAATAGTTGTGTAACCCTCCAGCAGAGTGTATGTTGTCTCTCCTGTATGGGCTGGTCCATACAGAGAAAACAGCATGCTTCCCCACTCCGGTTACTTCTATATTTTCCAGGATACTGGACTATATGGACCTTCGGTCTAATCCAGTATGGCTATACCCATGTATTTATAGCTGAAGCAGAGGAGACCTGTGTTGTCGATATGAAGGTTCTGAGTTCAATGCGCTGATGACCTCTGGACGCGCAAAAAAAAAAAAAAAAAAAAAAAAAGTATGTATGTGTAAGCATTAGTGCTAGCATCCAGGAGTAATTGTTGGACTGATTTTATATCATAAAGCATTGTATTTAGAAGTGAATTTGGAAGTTGTGTTATATCGGTTTTATTGTATGTTTAGCATTTGTATTTTGGTTAATAGGAGCTGTCCCTTTAAGAATCGGACGGGGCACTTTACTCTAGTGTGAGTGACAGCAACATGTGGGAGATTTTGTTTGTGTCCAGAGAATGGAAGACCGTGCCTGTTTAAGCGCCAAAAGATCACAGCTTGATTTAGTAAGCGTTACTTTCTAGAAAGCAATCGCTCTTCTCAAAGGTGTATCATTAGTGTTTGTGGGGGATGATATGCCGCAGGGCATTGCTAATGAAGTACACAGTCTGATTTGTAGTTCACCTGTTTGAATCCAGATCAGCTCAACAGGTATTAAAAGCCGTTCTTATGTGATGGATGTTTGGTGACCCCTATATGAAATGGGTTCAGTGGGTACATGTCATGTTTCCGCATCAATATCTCACCACTATGATTTGCATTAGATTGCAATCTCTGAGGCAAGGGCTGTCTCCTCTTTGTCCAGTACCCAACACAATGGGGACCTGATCTTGGTTGGCTTCTCTAGCAAGAATGTTAACAACAAAGACTAAAATCGCATTACTCATGATTCAGTTGATAGTTTGACAATGCTGTAGTCACACACCTTGGGGTGGGCAGGGGAGTTCAAAAATCAGAATACAGACCAAATGCATGATCTGATCATTTTAAATAATTGCAATCTGTTGGGGTCTGACTTATGGTTTGTGAATTTTGGGACTGGCAATACTTAAGAAGCCATTTTAAACTTTAAAACTTTGCCTCACTTCAGGAATGTTGTTTCCTTGAAGTAAATTATCTTGGGATTCTGTTGCAGCGGTGGCCAGGAGAATGCTATGTCAGCTTGATATTGTTAAGGGGACAATATAAAGCATCCATGATGAAATAGTTATTCAGGATTTATATACTTATAAAATTCTCAGTGGGAAAGGAAGGGAGAAAACTGCTTCAACACACACATTTATTACACTACTTTTAAGGGTGTATTATAGTAAGAAAAAAAGCCCCTAAGATTCCATCTCATTGTATATGAGTGTAAATTGGAGATGGCAAAGACATTAAGACCCACCTAGTTAATCTTCCTGCCAAGGCAGGATTATTTCCTATCATGTAGTCTAATTTTAAATGTTCTAAACAAGAGGCTTTCATCTCTTCCCTAGAGATTCTATACAACAATTTAATAGGTCTCATTGCCAGGAAGATTTTCATGATATAGAGTTTAACAATTACTTTGTAATTTCTCCCATTACTCCTAATTACATTCCTTGAATAACTCATTCCTCTCCCTTTTCGTTGTTTATTCCCTTCACATATCTATAAATCTAAGTCCCCCATTCTAGCCCCTAGCTGTTTCTTAGCCAAGCTATATGTACTTAGCTCTTCATATTTATTCATAGAACAAATTTATTTTTAAATATGTCACAGGAAGTATTAAGTTGATCCCTTGGCATGAAAAACAAGATGCTGAAGCTTTCTGTCAGTTTGTAACTTGCTGCACGTGCACCAAAGAGCCTGAGATGTGTCTGTCACAGTGATTAGTCCTGCTGATCTAGATGAGAGTGCAAAGTAAGGGGACCATTATAGGAACCATCTGGGCTGCTCTTGGACTCTCAGGCCAACCCTGCAGATCAAACTGCCGAGAACAGTGGGTGAAATTGGAAAAGAAAACATAGCTCAGGAGAAAAGGGACCAGACTCTCCTGAAGAAAATGGTACTACCATTTGTAATGTAGATGGTGGTACGGCCAAACTGCTAGGCTAAAACTGCTAGGTTCTCTTTCACAGCTGTAACCTATTTGTAATATACAAACAAGAATGGATCTGGTAAGTTCAGCCATGATCATAGTTACTATGGTAGTGCACATTGGGCCCAAGTGATCTTTCATTCCTCAACTCCTTCTGATAATTAACTTAAAGATCTGAACTGACAGTGCACTTCTCAGACACAATATACAGAACAGCTACATTATTATTTTTAATTATTGTTGTTACAGTAGCATCAAGAGGGCCCAACTGAGATATGGGCCCCACTGTGTGAGGCACTGTACAAACACATAGAAGGAAACAGTCCCCCCTGCCCTGAAGAGCTTACAATCTAAATAGACAAGACATGGGATGGGAAGAAAAACAGTCACAAACAGGCAAAGTGATGTTTCCATATAGCAAGTCAATGGCTACGTCAAGATAAGAATTAAAATAGTGTTCTAATTCAGATTCACTGTAAAGCACAATATAAGCAAGGAAATCAAAATTAAAACCTGTCACTGAACCTGTCTCACTTTGTACTTCAATACTTGGGCATGACACACACATTGATCATTAGGGAGGTGGTGGTGTTGTGAGTTACCAACTGCCTGGATTCTGAACCCCACTATTTACATCAGTTAGTGAGGACTAGTGTTACTTTAATACAGTGTATGTTTCCCTGCATTTGTTTCATGTCATGCTATAATGTTTCAAGGCACCATAGTTACAGTTAAATGCATGGAGTAATTCAGTGTTAATATGAACTTACTCCTCAGCTAACAAGTCATTAAGTGGTTTAATAGCATAGTTACAACTTGACTTTTTCTTGCTAACGGAATCTTTCCTTCAAGTACATCCTGGAACCTTACAGAGTTCCCCATTCTGATTTACTCTCGATGCTCGGGACAGCAACGACATAATCTCTCAGCTGAGGACTAGGCATTCAATGACCCTCTGACGAATTGTACTTAAGGAGTGGTAATATCCGTACATATTAATGATCCAGAAAGTAATTAAAGACTAATCAAAGCTTAATACAGAGTGGGGAGAGCAGAGAACTAACCATCCGTCCCTCCTAAATAAGAATTTTATTCAAATTTGGAGGAAGTAGTAGTTTTCTCCCATATCTAGAGATTCGGTACCCCATTCAGACTGTTATGTCTGAGTAATAAATCCTTCAAGAGAGTATTACAGCAAGGGCTGACAGGCCAATGGCTATTAATTTTACCCATTGTGACAAAGTTCCTGTTCTACCTTGGTGGGTCTTGCGCTTACTAGCAGATTTTCTCGCCTTGGAGCTTCACAGCAGCCCTCAGCTTGGCTGTTTTTCCAAACCCACAGTCCAGGTCGACTCCTCCTGTGTCTGACCAGGAGTTGGAAAGATTTGGGAGGAACCTGGGCCCGCCCTCTACTCCGGGTTCCAGCCCAGGGCCCTGTGGAATGCAGCTGTCTAGAGTGCCTCCTGGAACAGCTGTGCGACAGCTACAACTCCCTGGGCTACTTTCCCATGGCCTCCTCCCAACACCTTCTTTATCCTCACCATAGGACCTTCCTCCTGGTGTCTGATAATACTTGTACACCTCAGTCCTCCAACAGTCCACGTTCTCACTCTCAGCTCCTAGTGTCTCTTGCTCCCAGCTCCTCACACACGCATCACAAACTGAAGTGAGCTCCTTTTCAAAACCCAGGTGCCCTGATTAGCCTGCCTTAATTGATTCTAGGAGCTTCTTGATTGGCTGCAGGTGTTCTAATCAGCCTGTCTTAATTGTCTCCAGAAGGTTCCTGATTGATCTGGAACCTTCCCTGTTACCTTACCCAGGGAAAAGGGACCTAACTGAGCCTGGGGCTGATATATCTGCCTTCTATTACTCTCCTATAGCCATCTAGCCCGACCCTGTCACACCATCAATAGTCAAGATATTGTTGGATATAACACAAATTGGAATAGTTCAAAAAGGTGGCAGAGGCCCTGCCAGCAAAGTCACTACTCACCAGCTGGATGGCTATCATTAATACCGTCTTCAAAGTGAAAGTTCGATCACAGAGGTCAAACAAATCTTCCAAGCTAGGACCAAGTAGTTCTAGTACCATGGCATTGTACTTTCCACATGGGCCAAAGTAATACACCTGGGGGAGGCCTTCAGCTGTAAGAACAGGGGAAAAAATTAAACAAGTGAGCAGGACTGCACTAGTATTACTCCTGTCAAGTCAGACCCTTTGTTGTCCCCAAGCTTTATTTTTATCGCTTAACTCATAGTCCCCATTACAGATCTTGCACAGCAAGCAGAAAAAAGTTTCCACATGTATTTATTGATATGGATGGAAAGAAGTGCAAACCAGTACATGTTCTTCTCAAAGAAAGCCTTTGTAAAGCATATGGATTTTAGGGCAACAAATACTATAAGCACATGAAATACCTAATTCTAGCACTGCAAAAGTTTGGGTCATAGAAGATATAATTTGTAAGAAGTTCCCTCCTTTACACTAAACATTTGGGGGCCATGAACCCCAAACAAGTCTACGTTCTGACTAGTTCAAGCAGCTGCAAAGAGGTAAAACCTTTTTACTTAAAAAAAAATATGGTCAAGAAAGGGCTCCTTTGTAAACCAATGTATGTTGTTTTCAGCATAGCTTTACATAATCTGGTTTATGTTAATATACATGCATTTTAGTAAGAGTTATAATTCAAAACACACATAAGCACTATAAGTAATGCAAAGATTTTTAATCTTTATATCTTATTTCACTTGATGAAATAAGAAATGTATCTAATCAGTTAAACTTATCCATAAAATTATTTTGCTAAATCATACACAAAACCCTTGTAAGTGGTTGCTAACTGTAGTCAGTTCTCTGACCGCAAAAAGGCACAGGAATACATTTTCAATATGCCCATAAAAGAAAATGTATATTCAACTCTGATGACAATGTTGGATGATAAACGCAAATTGTTTTCCAAAGGGCACCAGAAAGGGGGAAACAATGGCTCAGTCAACACAAGGCTGATCTTGCAGATTCCTGTTGCACAAGGTCTGTTTTGAACACTCACTGAACTAACCAAAGCAGAGTTGTACTTCTTGAATTTGCTGCCCTGTGAAAGAATTCCAATTGATCACTACATAGAGCTGATTCAATATTATGTGATATGGGCCAACAGCTAGTGCTCCAAGGTTTCTTCTAGTACAGGAACTCAGCCTCCTTGCATCTGTTTGAGACAATGCAGCAGAAGCATTGTATTTTATTATAGAATATGCTTTCAGCCTTTGCTTCATAAACAGTTTCAAAAGACAAACGGGGAGAGGGGATACTTATTTTGAAACACAACCTCAAAGAGTTCAGCCCAATGCCAAATTGACTTGTCCATTTTTAACATACAAAAGATAGATTACCAGCTGCTCAGATAACATTAATTATACATATAGACAAGAATTAGATGTTTGTTTAAACAATTTGTTCTCAGACATCAGTGAAGCCAAAGAGCCACAGAACAGTATATTACATGATGTTTAAGGGATCAAATATGTATATATAACATATAATTTGTTCCAGGCAAAAAGACTATATTGGAAGTTAAGTTGCAAGAATCATGTACCCAAAATTTAGGAAGTGCCAGAATTAAGGTAGCCCATATACCTTAATTCTGCATGCTTGTACCTTATACCATTTTTAGTTACTTGATCACATACTATTTTCTTCCACATGAGCAAAGTTGGGGTGAAGGAGTGTAGGAGCAGGCTTTTGTATTTCTACTATAAGAATTAATGTATGATTTGATCATCCTGCCAGCCACCCTTTTTGAATAGTAGAAAGGAATGACCCTCAGGGACATTTGTAGAAACTCATCTGACAGACTGCCAGTGTCTGTACTGATGTTAAGGCAGGGACAGACCAGAACAATCCTTATGACTAATTATGGTCACCCTTTTGTTTTAGGATAAGTTATAATGTCTACTATGGTTTCCTATATGCATTATAAATTAGGCACTCTAGTTAAATATACATTTCTTTGTTTTAAGGTTTAGTAAGTAAGAGACAGGATTTTGTATTGTGTCTATGTTAATGAGACTAGAGGAATGTTGAAGGCCGGGGCCGCAATGTGAACTGTTTTGATTACAAGATTTAGTAAAATTTAATTTACAATGCCTTTCTTGCTCAACATAAAACACTGCTGTTTGTCTACCTTTGAAGGCCTCTGTAAAAGACTGTTTTGTGTGAATGACGAATGCATGCATCAGGAAAAGATAAGGTGTGAAGGCCATTGTTAAAGTCAGATGGTCAAGGAAGGAGGAGTGAAGAAACTTAACCAGAGAACCATCAACACGCATCCATAAGTGAGGAAGGGCAGATTGACAACCGTGAGGTGGAGGCTGGCACCCCTAAATACAAGACAATTGACTAAATCAAAACCAGGATGGAATGACCCTCTTGGAGGTGTTTTGGAATGTTATCAAAAGATACACCAATTAAGGAGTAACCGGTCACAAACTGACACAGCAAAATCCATAGACTTCAACAGAGAAAAAAAGACTATACGAACAGGGTGCTTGGCCATGGGACTTTGGGTTCGTCTTGCCACAACTCCAGGAGCATCGGATCGCAACTGACAGAGCCTGGCTCCCCTCTATGACCAACCTGGCTGGCCACTAGATTGATCCAGACTCTGGACTGGTAACTATAAACTTCAACTGGCAGGACTGTGTGCATGGTGGGTGTGTGTGTGAGAGACTGAAAAGCATATGCTAACTGCTGTATTCTCTATAAATGTGGCGTATTGCCTTTTTCCCTGAAAAAGATCCCATGCGCTTCTTATAAACATAACAGGAGGACATGTAAAATTAGAGCAAACTCACAACTACAGTAACTTTTGCCTCTACTGTACCTTTAGGAAAATCCAGCTAATCCACACAATACATGATTCACAACAAACAATAGCACTCCCCAGTTCTTAAAAATGCAATGAATGTTGTACAGAGGTTTCTTATTACTAAAACTTAATCCTATTGAACTGTTACTAGCATACTATGAAGTATACCTAAAGCTTGTCCAGTATAACTAAAGCTTTGTTCACACAAAGTACTGTTTGTCAAAGATTATTCTATATTTTTTAAAACAATGTTTGTTCACTTATGTTCACTTAATTTTGGAGATTTATACTGTAGCCTGCCAGTCATTGGAACAAATTAGTGAGGTACTTAAAATACCTGCAGAAACTGCATGTCTAGCCACTAGAATTTTTATGTTTATGTTCAACAGTTACACAAACATTTACAGTGTTGAAAGGATGACCTCTGTGGGCTGAAATACTTAATGGATCTTCGGATTTGATCCAAACAATTGAAGTAAGACCATAAAAAGAATGTATTGTCTCTTTTAGAAAAGAGAAGTCCAGCTCAAGGGTATTCTCTTTCTTCACGACAGAACCAATTCAAAGAGCAAAGCATGAGTAGCACTGGGACAAGTCAGCTCCAGCAGGGTTTTAAATATCCCATTTCAGAGACCAGCAATACCTCATTAGTAAGGACTGGGTCATCTCAATGTACACAGCTGGAATTAATTGGTACACTTTACTGGCACTGTTTGTTGTCAGAAAGAATGAATGCCAATATGATCTAACTTCCCAGCAGGTGCCCTGATCTCATACTGGGTTCCAATAATGGAAGCAGGTCACCAACGGTGCTGGAGGGACAAAGAGGAGGCAGATTGGAAGCTCTGACAATCTGATATTGGCAAACCCATCCACCAGCATGGGCAACAAAAAGAAACCAAGTGACAGAAGATGAGTAGCAGGAGGAAACTGAAGCAACAGTAGGAAGAGCTTGAAGAATGGCAACAGATATTGGAAGTGGGGAGAAAGAGGGGTTTTTGGTAGACTCCTGGCAACAAAAAAAGGCAGAAGACAGATTCATAGATTTCACACATTCCAAGGGCAGAAGGAACCATCTAGTCTGACCTCCTGTCTAACACAGGCCAGAGAAGGGTGGAAGGCTGGGGGGAGGGGGGGGAGGGGGTAGGCAGAACTAGGAAAAATGTGGATTCCCAGATGAAGAAGAGGTCAAAGATAGGGATACAAGAGGAAATTGTTAAGCCCAAAGGATTAGAAAAGAGAAAATAAGGTCGCTTTAACAACCCCTCTGTGCTAAATGTGAGGGCTCAGTGTGTATCCCCCTAAATACCACTATCCCTAACTCCCCAAAGCTCCTTCTCTGTGTGGAGCTCTTTACAAGATCCATCTCCACTTGCAAATAAAATGGTCCTCAATATCAGTGATGGTAACAGTTAGGCAACCACACCATGACCCTGTATCTCCAGATTCTTAGCAGACGGGCTGTGCTGAGGTTGTCTCTCCTTTGATGCTTTGGGGAATGGGAGAGAAAAGGGTCATGGATCCAATCCTAAAGCAGTCACCCTCTGCTTCTATCCTGTTCTGCCAACAGAGGTCCCTCGAGGGGGATGGCTGTAATACATGTCACCTGAAGTGTTGGTATATTAATGAAACAACTATGTGGTATAAACAATGAACATGCTTAGGCCTACCTGCTGAATCTTTGACTCCAGGGTTTTGTTTCACTAAAACCAAGTGGACTTCCCCACACAGAAACCATTTTTCTATTCCTTGTGCTGCCTTATTTCCTTCACGAGAAGGGATGGAGTTTGCTTCCTGGTTGCAAGCATGTACAGGGCAATTGGTGAAACCAAAGGGTTTTTAAAAGAGACAAAAGTATGTGTATATATTTTTACAAGGCCAAAATTCATTTCATATTGCCCATTTGATACTTTACACACCACAAGAGAACTCGTACACTCACTCATTTATAATATTTTTCTGAAAAACATGGGTGCAATGGTAAGAGGAGCAAACAACAATTGGAAGAAGCATGAACAGTCCGTTTAACTGCCAACTGGAACGATGGCAATGCTGGAAGAAAGGAGGGCAGCTCCTCTCTTCTCCCCCACACAGTTTGAGTACTTGCAGTATGGAAATAAAGGACAACCCTGCCCCTACTCAATGACCAACATATGATTTTGTACAAGAACTATCATAGGCAACAAGGGAGTGGGTCCACTCTAAAGGGATAGCTCCTCTTGTTCTGTAAGATTTGTGTGGTGAAAAATGCACCCTGTTCCTATTCCAGAATGCTGACTT